GGAGTCTATTTGATAGGGTAGAATTGATAATAAGAATGGTGTTCGCAAGATGACGTCTTGTCGTAAGTCCCTAACCATGAGAAATGTGGTTTTCAGGCAACTTCCTTGGTTATAGATATGACCCGCATGGATTTTGTATTTAATCCCTAATTTTCTTTCCTCAGCAACGTTCACCTGCTGAGAAGTTTTCTCAAAGTATTTGGAAGGTACAATTCCTTCCCTGATACAATTTATATCTGCCCCTGATTCAATTAAGGCTACGACTGAAAAGCTAAAATCTTTAATTCGAATGGTTAGTTGTGAGTACCATTTTTGGTACTTAACTTCTTCAATAGAGTATATAAACTCCTCATCTTCTCCTATGAATTCTGCGGGTTCGACTTCTGACGTCTTCTCAGATTGATCTGTCAAATATCTATAATGTTCAACTCTGGACTTTAGTTTCTTGACTTCCCTCTTAAGATCATTGACCTCTTGCTTAAGGTCTATCAGAGGAGGTCGCGAGGTACTGGCCCGAGTTTTCTTCATAATTTCATCATATGAGATTATATTTTCTGTTGTAAACAATCTTTTAGATTTTTGATTTTTTATCCTTTTCTTTATTTTGCATTGCTATGAGCAAATTTCTTTTTCTCGTTTCCTCATCAGAAATTTCTTCTAGGATTTCTACAAGGTGTTTTTCATCTAATAAAAGCATATTGATGCTTTTTAATTTTTCTTCTGTACTTGTTTCGTTTATACAAGTGTAGACAACACCATTGTAGCAGGTTATCAAAGAGGTAGAAGATTCTCGTTTTTAAGTTACCTCTTCCTCCCTCTCAGATTCTTTTAACTCATTAATTTTCTTTGAGTTTTTAAAACACTTATTAGCAGTGTTCCTTTTCCCACTTTTGAAGAATGTAGGGGTTTTGTGTTCTTTCTTCTTTTTAGAATACTTTGATTTCTTTGCTCCCTTTTCATATTTTTTCTTGTAGAACTTTGGTTTTTTCTTTCTGTGCATTGTTCTATAGCTGGTTGGTTTGGGAGCTACACCAAACTGGTAACAAAAATCTCCTAACTTTTCTTTCTTAATTTGCCTTTTTAGACGTAAATCATTAAATAGGTCTAAGCCTACTTGTTTTACTACTTGTACTAAATACCCAAATGTATAGTGAGTGTATAACAGTCTTTCACCACCTAGATGCTTAAGGTGGTTTCTAACCTTTTTTGTGAACAATGGAGGGAGGCCCGAAATGAATTGATCCTTCCAATAATCTTGTCTAGAGGTGGTTAACCTATGTACTTTGTACAAAAATACATCTTTATACCATCTAAAATCAGATAGTGTTTTACATCTAAGATTAGTAAGCTGTTTGCTTATTCTCTCTGTCATATGATCAGTTTCCTATGAAATGACTTAATATATTTAAGACTTAGGTAGTTACTGCATCCTGAATGGGTTGGCCTTGACTTACGACCATTTCACCATCTTCATCCCTTTTTATAAAATTAAGGATATAATCCCTTTCTTCTTGAGTTAGGTAATGGAGCCACCATCCTTCATGTTTTTCTGTGAAAGACTCCGTTATTACCGTGGCTATTACCTTTTATTCATTTCTTGCCAATTTGCTAGCACTAGCATACATGGTCATATGATGAACCATCTCATGAATCTAGTATTCAGATTTTCCATCTAAATTCCATTCGTAAAAGGTATTCCCATCATAACTAATTTGTGGTTTAACCGATTCTTCAAACAATAAGTCTACCGGCATATGCCTAGGATAATAGAGCTCCTTACTTTTGTGTGAGAGCTTATTTAGGTCTATTAAGGGATTTTCTTGAAATTCTTCTTCTGAGTCCAATTCGATTTCATATTCTTCACTCAATAAGTTTACTGAGTGTGAATTAGATGCCTTTTCTATTTTCTCTATTTTAGACGATTTAGATGTTTCTCCTTTTTCCCATTTAGAGGATGGAATTAATTTTGTAGATAGCTCCTTACAACCTACTTTAGATAAATCTAGAGGAGCTTTCTTAATTTTCATATTAGGAGGAAATTCGGTCATTATTCTCATATGCCTTTCTTTCTTGATTACTGTTCTTTGTTTAGAGATTTCTTATGAATTTAATATTGTTTCTATCTTGTTAGTCTGTTTTTCTAAGACATTTAGGCATATATTAGTGTAATTATTTTGTTATATTATTTGAGAACAGTGTTCAAGTATTATTATCTCAGCTTCTTTTATTATATTAGAATTTTTGATAGGGCTAGCTATCAGCTCTTCTTTGCCTATTGTAATGGCTTCTAGAGGCAGATATGATCAGTTTCTGTTTTTACTTGTAGAAACAATTTTCCATGCTCTAGATAATATTTCTGTTACACAAAGCTCTAATTCCTCTACTGGTGGTTTTATGTTTTTGAATTGTTTTTTCTTTAGAAACCAATCCCAGAAGGGAATATTTTCCTTTAATTCTAACATATCTTTGTTCCATAGTTCTCGGGTACACTCTCTCATTTTTAGAGAAGTTTTCGAAGAACCATTTTTTTCTTTATTAGTTGTGAATTAAAGTCTAACCTTATTAGGTCTTTATCTATTTGGAATTCTTCTTCAATTTCCAAGATATTTATTTCAAAATCTGCTTCAATTGGTTGGTATGACTTCAATGAGGGGTTACCCCTCTGGGTTGCGTGATAATCTGAAGGTGGTGTATCTATTATAGGAGTTTCATAGGTAGCATATATGATGCCAGGAGGAGGGCGAGGTGGTTCTGACAAATCTACCGATCTTCTTGAATGAGAAGATCTTACCTCCAGTGGTTCAGTATACGAGGGCCTTGAAGAAGTAGAGGCTCTTCTGAACCGCAACTCAACAGATCCATCCTGCTCACTGAATATCAATGCTAATTCAGTGGATTCCATAGGTTTGGGAGGTTCTGCATTAGCTATTGACCAATTGTCCAATAGTTTTACGTCTTTCCACATAATTTGCCTAGGAATAGTTATATTATTCCTAGCGTTGGTCTGGAACAGGGTAGTTACTCCCCTTGTTCTGGTGATCCTGGTATTAGGACAGATGGTATTCGTGGTCTTAAAATAGACCCTATAGACTAATGCTACATTCTCTGACCCTGGTTTTATATCAAAGCCTTAGGTCTGTAGTCTTAAGGTTAAGGCTTCATGTATCCCTGGGTCCATTAGCGACACTGAGAAATTAGGAAAAGCATTAAAATATATTGGCCCTTGATGAAGACTTCCTTCTATTACTCCTAGTAAGGAATCACTGAATTTATTGTGCCTTGAATCTGTTCGACAGGCTAGAGCAGCTGTCTGGAGGCCCAACCTTGTTAATGGTTTTATGGCTACTTGTATTAGACCAAAATGTATAAAATGATAATCTGCTTTTTTTTTTTTTATATGCCTCTATCACCTTTCTATCTATAAGATGAAAATCTTCTGATTCGTTGCCTAGAGTGACCGTTCTTTCTATGGTTCTAATGTTAAAGTCTGTCTTTAGACTAATTACTCCTTTTTTATATATTTCGGAGGGTGCCATCTTAGATATAGTCCAGTTTTGAAGAGATTTCTCTATATTACTATAGTTTATTTCTTCCATATTTTTTATAGACAGACTTTGTAAGGGATGAGCTTGTACTATACTCAGAATTATTTTCATTTCTGGATCCTGACCTAAACAATCTCCTCATCTTATCTTTCCCCTTAACCGTTAGTTGGCAGTCAACTTCAATGGCCTTTCACCAAACCTTTTTGGCCTAACGCGACTTCGCCCTGGGTGCAACCGTGCAAGGGTTCTAGCCTTGGGGGAACTGTTAGGTGTCTAGTCTAACAACTTGGGTGCTAGCCAAGTGATTTCTCCGAGGGGACTACAGTTTTGGGTTCTAGCCAAGGGTTCTAGGCAGTATCCAATGATTTAATAGTCCTGATTCCGATAGGGTTAGAACTCTGTACCTACTGTTTACCTATAGTTTGGATGTTGCTTGGATCATTGGCTCTAATACCAAATGGAGATAGAACAGAAATGTGGATGAACAGTAATAGGACTTAAGAACACTCAAGGAGATATAAGTATAACTAGAGAGAGAGAGAGAGAGAGAGAGAGAGTTAATAGCATAATTAATGAGGAGAGATTATTAAAAGAGTTAATGGAAAAGAGGAGAGAGAGAGGGAGGGGGTGAGAGAGTTAATGATGTATTAATGAGGAGTGTTAAAAGTCTTATAGGTGATTGGTCACTTGAATTATTTTGTTCAATTTTAAGATTATAAAACTCAAAAAAAACAGAAAAAAGATAAATGCCAGGAAGCAGGGAAGTGCCAGCTTGGCACATTGCCTATATATATATATAGATTAAACCATTGAGATGGTTACTTATGCCATTTGCTAAGATTCAGTTGCCATACATACATACATACATAAATTGGCATTCAGTTTCAGTTCCTGCTACTGGGCAGTTAACGCCTAAAACCTTAAATTCTTGTGTAGAAAAATGTGAAACCACCTTATTTCCATTCAGGTCACCTTTTAAATAATTATGATATATTGTAGCCAACACACCCCTATTTAGGGGTATATTGCTATAGCCTATAGGTTACAGTATATTGTAGCCAACACACCTTATTTCCATTCAGGTAGGTATATTGCTATAGCCTATAGGTTACAGTAGGTAAACCTCACAAAACCTAGGCAGCACCTTGATAACTATGTTTTCTTGATTTAATGTGAAATTATTTTAAGAAATGAGTAAATAACATGGTGGGGGCTTGATGTTTCAAGACCAAATAACCTTCTAGCTACATCTATTCTTATCTGAGTTTAGTCTATCAAGCTTTAGAGTGGAATTCCTACTCATATTTCTGCTTGGTATTCATGGTTTTGATGAGAGAGTTCACTTTATGCTTTAAGAGTTACACTGTTACTTTGTTGACTATATTATTTGATTTGTATTATCCTGGTTTATTTTTTGGGTTTATGTAATTTCTGTAATTGTTCATATGATCTCAGAGAGGTATAAAGCCATGGATACTTTTGATATTGTTGAAGAGGATGAAGAAGCTTTCTTAAAGGGTTCTTCCCCTGGCTTAGTTGCCATGAAACATGGAAGTCTTACTCAAGATGATAATGCACTGGCAATGGATGGTGATACAGAATCAGCAATTTTTGGTAGCTGGCAAGGGGTTGATATTAGAGCTACACAGGTTGATGGGCAAAGGAAAGACTCATGTCTTAGCGCTGAGCCAATGAAAGAGGGCAGATCTTTAGATCTTTTTACTGGACAGCAATCGCCATCCTATCCTAAATTTTACCCTCTTGATCAACAAGATTGGGAAGATGGAATTATTTGGGACAATTCTCCCACCAAGAGTTATGACTCCTCAGAGAGTTGTATGATGTCTGGACCAGGCTCTGAAACATTTTACAATGCTGAAACAGAATTTGAGGCTAGGCCACAAAATGTGGTATTGCAGCACCAGATGGAGCCTGATGAGAAGGAACATAATCTTTTCTTGCATAACTTTCCTGTGTCAGTGGATCCCTTTGGTTCAACAGAATTTTCAGACCAGACAAACCTTCCATTCACAGATAAAAAAAATCATCCCCAGTTATTGAGGTTAGAATCTCGTTTGAAAGTGGACAGTTCAAATTACTCGGAAGTAAGAAAGGAGAGCAATAATGGAGAATTTCGCCAACTCGACATAATTAAACGCTTGGGAAGACTTGCCTTACAGAATAGGGAGATGTTGGAGGGTTCTTGGTTAGACAACGTTATTTGGGAACCAAAGGAGTCCATATCAAAACCAAAACTAATTCTTGACCTTCAAGATGAGCAGATGCTTTTTGAAATTTTAGATAACAAGGAAGGTAGACATCTTCGCTTTCATGCTGGGGCTATGATAGTTACTCGGTCTGTGAAGTCTACTGGTGGGGATTCATTTGATCTACCTGGTCAAGGGGGGCCGTCTGCTGGCCGGTTTAATATTTCTAATGACAAGTATTATTCAAATAGGAAAACCTCTCAGCAATTAAAATCACATTCTAAAAAACGTGCAGCTCATGGGATCAAAGTCATGCATTCAATACCTGCCCTGAAGTTGCAGACAATGAAACCAAAGTTGAGCAAGTAAGATTTAACTCTATTCCTTACCTTTCCATGGTTTTGTTTGTTTATATGTTTATGATTTTGCATTTTTTAACTAAGCAACACTTGCACAATATTGAAACAAGTAATAACCTACCTTTGTTTTGGTGAATGTTGTGAAAAGGTAACTTCTTTTTTCACATTTTACCTTTCAAGGAAAAAAAACTTGTTCAGTTTTATGTATTTCAAAATGAAGCAGGATGAACACCGCTCTTATATGTGGTATAAATGCATCTAAACTGGCTTTCACGTTTTAGATGCCATTGCTGGAAACAAATAATTGACAATATCTAACAGGTTTTCTAGTTGTAAATTGTAAATGGGGCCTTAACTTGGGTGAGCCCACTGCAACCCAATCTTTTGTGCTGGTTTTGTTTGAGTTTTCAGGTTTTGGGTTGTGCTTGGGCCTGACCTGAACTCGTGTTGGGCTTGGTTTAGGCCTTGGGGTAGCCCTAGCCTTAGCTGCGCGATATTGTATAATTTGTAGTCATGTGTATGTGTCATCATCATCATACCCCGACTATAGGGCTCGGCTACATGAATCCTGTTTCGCCAATCCATTCTATTTAATGCTATATCCACTGTTAAATTATTAGTGCTTAAATAATTTCTTAGTACTTCAACCCCTGTCCTTTTTGGTCTACCCTTAGCCCTTTTAGCTCCTTCAATTTGTAACAAATCACTTCTTCTAACTAGTGCTGTTGATTAGGGGTGATCATGGTCTGGGTTTAGCACCAATGATAAGGGCTTCTGCCTAGGGCCAGACTTATGGGCTTTTTAGGTCTAATGAAAAAATTTATTTGTTTAGAAAATTTTAAATTAAATATTATATTAATACATGAAAGAAAATATTGCACAAGTCCAAGCAAAGTTGGGCTTGGCTATGCTTTGGTGGCCTATTGCACTAAAAATAAGGAATCAACCTCATTTAATTCCTAGACTTAGTTTGGCTTCGCTTACCTATCCTTTTAAAGGCAAGGGTCTTCATTCCCATTCTTGAACAATGTGGGACTTGGAACAACACTCAATAGTGAGGGTTACCATTGAGTATTTTCCCAACCCCCACATTGCTTAGGAATGAGAATGAAGGCCTTGCTTTCATCTTTATTAGGCCTTGCCTAGGAGGACAATTCTCATACTTGAGTTGATTCATGTGTTGGCACATGCGTTTTTTTAGAAATGCTTGGCACATGTGTTGACACGTGTCTATCCATGAATATTTATTTACACGTTAAAAGTTTTATATTTTATATAAAATAACGAACATTAATATAAAACAAGATATATTTGCGTGCATATTACATATAATATAAAATATAAAATATATTATAATATAAAATATTATGTATATTATACATTACATATTTGAAACCTAGGCCCCGACCAGAAATTTGTGTGCTGGTCCAAGAATGATCACTCCTACTGTTGATGGTCTTCTATGCATGTGATCAAGCCATCTTAGTCTACTTTCTCTCATTTTATCACCTATTTGAGCTACTCCTAGGTTCCTATGGATGACTTCATGTATGTGTACACTGTATTTATGATAATGTACATATCTATGTATATTACATATTTATAATGTCATATACACCCTAGAATATATTTAGTTATTTATAATGTGTATGATAAATCTAAGCTCACACCCACGGACAAACATGCTCAGATACAAACATACATAATGTGTAATGGCATTTGCACATTCTTTTTGATCTATTCTGTTCCTAATTTGGGCTATAAGCCCATAAAAGGTGAATATACAAAAGCATTTACCTAGAAGAAAAATGAACTTTGGGCCAGCACCAAGGCATGAGGTGGAAAAATGGCACCAATACAAATACAAATGAAATCATAACAGCCAACAGAAATACATAGGAAGGGGTATGTTGCTCCTTCATGCAACCCTAGGATTGGACCTTTACCAAGACATCACCTAAGGATTCTCTGGCTTAAAATTTTGTAAGTGCCTTAACTGTAGATATAATTGGATCTCACCAAATCTTACCAGTTGAAGACTTTTCTGTAGCCCCACTGTTATAACGAGCTAAGTGGGAGAATGCTAGTACTAGTAATAATGACAAGGATTATAAGGATAAGGTGAAGAGGTAGCATCTTCAAAGACGGGAAAAAACAAACCAAAGTCTGCACCTACACATCAACAGATTTTCCAAAGTTTGACAAAAAATCTGAACCAAACATTCCTTTGTCAGCATCTTCAAACTCTGGATGTACTACCAATTATCATACATATGTCAAATATAAATTTTCTATTGGAATGATGCTTTCATTCAAAAATAATTGTTCCTTTTTGGTTTTCAAAACATTCATTTGTTGCGTTACCCTTGTGTGTACATTTTTTTTGGAAGTAGGGGAAGTAAAATTTTTTCAGAAGCAAAAAGGCAAACAGTATGACAGATCTTCAGGGACCCACCCTACATCCAGGTGGAAACCCCAAAGGTACACACAATTGTTTTTTTTTTTTACCAATAACAAATAACAATTTCATTAAAATATGATTAAAGAGAGAGTCAGAAAAGGAGAGATAAGCTCTCTTATCTCACCCAAAGAGAAAACTACCAAAAATAACATATAACAATTACAAGTGAGCCCATAAATGAGAATCCCTATTCATCCCTTGTTTAGCTAAACCATCAGCAAAAGAGTTGGCACTTCATTTAACCCATGTAGGTTTTATATTCATGTCAAATTACAACCAAAGACCCCACAATCAACAGACTGGAGAAGCTGCATGGTTGGCTAATGGGAGAACTCCTTAGAAACAGAAGCCCAGGACCTCAATCTACCAATTGGTAACCTGATTAGCTCCTTTTTAGACCTGCTTTGTTGTTGATTCTCCTATTTCTTTCGAAGCATAGATCCATGAGACAGATGCTGGTACCAGTGCCAAACTAGCCGTTCTCTTCTGCTCAGCTCCTGAAGTGACCAGGTCAGCAGCAGCTCTTTCAAAGATTTAGGTGAACCCAGCTTAGATTAACAGCTCTGATAAAATGCAATCATAACCTCCTGGCCATATTGCTATCATAAGACTGATCTTTTATAGAATTTCTGGAGCACTCTTGATTTGCATCCTTGTAATAGTGATTCATTTTCAGTTTGATTTCTGATATGTAGTTGGTTTGTCAACTTGACAACCATTATTTATGAGATCTACTGCCTTTTCTCAGTTTAATGAAATTTCCTTTTATATCCTTAAAAAAATATTGCAATGGATAAACAGATGAGCATCACTCTCCATTTCTTTAGTTAAGCATCTCTCTAAAGTTGCAGACCACAACAGAAAACCAACTTTAGAAGCCACCAGCACACCCTAAACTGATATTCTTTGCCACTTGATAGTAAAAGTCCCATGGCTTTCCCACTTCCAACTCCACTGATCTAGTTGGCCTTCCTAAATATTTTGGTTCCTTAGAATCTGAAACAACTCAAGCAATCTATCCATCTCTAAATTGTAGGGATTCCTGAAGAGACTTGTTGACCAAGTCACACTCCCACCTGTCAACTAGGATTTAGCCACAGAAGCATTTTTATCAACCAAAAACATATATAACTGAAGAAAGACTTCCTTTAAGGGTCTGTCAGTACACTATCTGTCATGCCAGGACTTCAATCTACCACCATTGCCCAACTTATAGGTGATTCCTTTTGAAAACACATAATAGGCTTTCATGATCTATTTTCACACTGAGCTGCCATAGGAAGTAATTGGATAACCCAAAATCCAATCACCACTTTATATTTAGTAGCAATCATTGATTCATCATTCTCCACCAAGCTTCTCTGTCAACTCCAAATCACCAAATCCACTTAAGGCCACATTGAAAACTTTTATTCTTTTATTGCCAAGACAACCCTCTTCTGGGGAGAGACAGGCTTGATCCCAGTTAACTGTGTGAACTTTATTCTCTCCTGACAACCCTGACAAAAAAAATCCCTTTGGATCTTTTCAATCTTCTTAGCTATCTTCATTGGGAGAGGAAAGAGTGGCAACCCTGATATTTGTTTCCCAGCTCACAATTACCCTTTCTGTGTATAATCTATGCAATTTTGGCCAATTGGCCATTACTTCATACAACATACTTACGTGCATGGCTCAAAGTATTGATACACCCGTGTATCAGCAGAGGCGTATCAGTACTAAAAACTATGCGTGCTATGCTTTTTAAGTTTTCTTTTTTTTCAAAACTTGATTTTTGGGGAGTTTTTTTTATTAAAATAAAGTGGGGGGGGGGGAGGTCCTAAAACACCTGTAAACAGGTGTATTGGGACCCAAAAGATACAATACGATTTGCTCGATACGGGGCGTATAGTATTGAAATTTTGATCCTCACTTAAGTGACACCAATCATCTTCCTAGAACATAATCTATTCTCATTTCCCTACTTATTGTGACACTGGGACTTAATATGAAATCAAGACTAGTTGGTGATCATGTCTGCAAGTCCAAAAGTGATCTCCAACTTGATTCTTCTTCAATAAACCATCCCTTGGCTTCTTCTCAGGATTCTAGAACGGTTCATGTTTATCAAGCCATGATAATTTCTGCTGTGTCAACTTTTGTCAAAGTAAATTTTGTTTACTATCTATTTTTCTAGATGGTTATCATATTACTTCTTTCTCTTATAGTTTCTAGTGAGTTTCAACTGAAATATTTAAAATTTTTGGTAACCGGATGCTTATTCATGGAAGCCATGATGTATCGGGTACTTAAATTCCAATGTAAATTTTGGTATTCTATACCTTGTCCAGCCATGTTCTTGCCATATTTAGGTATCAAAATCATGCATTAACTAGCTTCTTTGTTACAGTATTATGCTTACTAATTATCTTGTTTTCTATGTCCAGATTATCATGGTCATTCTTAATTCCCTCTTTTCATTTCTTATTTTGTTATTCTCTCTCTCATGAATAACAAAGAAACTTTATTGGAAAAAGGAAAAAAATAACCCTTTAAATTTCTCTAT